TGGCTTGGATGGTTATTAAGGAAGATTCCCCATCCTTTCTTGACATGTTGACATTTATTCGTATTTATATTATTAAAATAATACCCAAGCCAGAAATTATTGAAAATTAGTTGTATTTTTTATTAACTACTGTATTTATTTAGTTATTTAATTTATTTTTACTAAAAGCAATTGCAAATTAATTTTGTAGTGACTAATATGCAAAAAAAAAATGATGAAAATACTGAAAATTATTGAAAAATACTCATATGCAAAAATTAATGAATAATATGAAAAACATAAAAGTAATTAAAATTCTGAAAAGCCTAAAGCTTAATTAAAAAATTAAATTAATTGTATGCAAACCCCAAATGGGACAAGTTTTCTCGAATTTTAAATAGTGATGGGGAAGAAACAAAGTGGGATGAGGAAAATATTTTTGCTCTCAATAGATTCAACATTGATTTTTTAAAATATCTCTAAGTTTTCCTCATATTCTTATAATCCTAGGATCCCACAATGCCATTTATAAAATACCCTTAAATTGTCATAATCCAATCCTAAAATACCCCCAAATTTCCATAATCCTATTTATTAAAATATCCACAAATTAAATTAGATTATTTTTAGGTGGTTGTCTCGAGTGGGGAAAATTTGGAGATTCCCCATCCCTAACAGGGAATGGAGTAGAATGTCCTGACAACAGGGGTGAGGGACAAGGAGTGTGATCCCGTGCATCGCAGGGGGCCCCACTAGTTTACCTTAATATATTCAAAGATTAGTTGGTTAAGACAAGATGGGTTTACTATTCATGCACTGGAACAATCAACAACAGGTGGTATTTATCAAATTTCACTGTGCACGAGTTGATTGGTCAAAGCTCTTTTGGTATCATGTATTTTTCAGTAGCATACATTTTTTTCTAAATAATATATATGTAAGCTAAGAGGGCCTTGTGTGGTGTACGAGTTTTATTAAATGAAATTGATTTTAACTTAATTGAAAATTTTATAAAAGCTAATAAAATTTTAATCAAATGTAAGATTTTTATTTTAATTAAATTCAATTAAAATAAGAAATTAATCTTAATTTAATTATTTTTAAAATTTTATTTATATACTTATTTTAAATGGGATTAAAAATTAAAATGATTAATTTATTTTTAAAATATTTAAAATTAATAAATAATGAATTTTTTATTTTAAAATAGATGTTATTTTCTTCTTAAGTAATTAATTTTAAAATTTATCAATGCAAATGTTTTTAATGGATTTGAAATTGATTCAGAATTAATAAATATTAAATTTAATTTTAAAGTGTTAAAATTTTAATTCAAGGCCCGAAAAATGATAATAAAATATTAACAGAAAACACTAAAATGATAATAAAATTGATGGGTGTGAATAATTGGTGGATCTAAGTAATAAAAGTAGTAAAAAAATGTCGTTAGCAGAAAAATAAGAATTACAACAATCCATCATTTGTGAAATTGATGGGTCTGAAAAAATTGGTGGATCCAAGTAATAAAAGTAGTACGAGTTAACGTGGTTACATGGGACCATATAAATCATGGATCAACTTTAATGGATTCCCATTGATTCATCTTATTCGGGTTATATTAAACCCGATGGAATCACCCTAATTTCAGAAAGGGTTTTGTCATATGTGAACACATTTTTGCAAATTTCCACCCTTTTGTCTCCTTGCATACGCAAACAAAAGGACGAAAACCATTCATGGACCGGCAATATCTCTTGCCTCTTAGGTCCTGTTTATTTTTTCGATAAGTTTTTTTTTAGAAAATACTTACCAGGTATTAAATAAATACACTTTTAACTGGTAAGTGTTTCCTAAAAAAACTTATCCGAATAAGTAACTTACCGAAAAATGAACGGGACCTAAGAGGCCAGAGATATTATCGGTCCATGAATGGCAATATCTCTTACCTTTTAAACACTACAAAGAAACTCCTTGCAGGAAAGCTTGGCACTATCACTGCTGATTTGGAAGGAGCAGGTAATAATGCCTTCATGTGTCCCAACCTTTAGTGTTAGAATAACTTTTCTAAATGTGTTTCCATCCATTGTGCTTTAAAAGGAGTCAGTATGAATTTCCAGTAGACACATCACAAGAAAATGTAAAGTTATAAACCAAAAGCTCTTCTATTGTTGACTGTTGCTAGTTCTTTTTGAGCATCTCATTTATCTCAATCCATGGATAAGTAGTTATGTTTTACCAATAAATTTTCTTATAGCCCTGTTTTCTGTTGCTTTTGCGAAGAAAGTTATCTCTACGTCTCTCATGTTTTGATGGAAACCATCTCTTTTCTTTCTTTCAATTTTATTAAGGTCTGGGCATTTAAATATTAATCTACCCAAGTTTGCTGCTGCTATTTGAAGCAAATGCCTTTTCTTTCTGTATTTCAACCTAAATTTGGCAGTAATTTTTTTGATTGGAAAAGTATTTTTATTTATTAAACTTAAAACAGGTTACAAGTGTTTTAGGCTTTTAGCTACTTTGTATTCTAGAGTACTAAATGGAGAATTTATTAAGAAGAATAAACAAGGTAGACAAGAGGATCAGCCCTCAAAGTACAACTTGGCATAGATGCCGAGCTAGAACTGTGACAGAGATACAACAGTTAATCCCCATTAATGTCTCCATGAAGAGAAAATCATCCATCTATTATCTGATGTGATCATTAGAATATTCATAAAAGTCTTTAGAATTAACTGACCACCTAATCAATGGTTCTTAAATCTCCCAATTAAAACCTCTGTGGTGCTGCTTTTAAGATCAAAGATAATACTGTTCCTGTTCTTCCAGATTCATGAAAATATTGTGAAAAGTAGAAGGTTCCAAAGGATTGTACTTATTTTAAAATATCCTTTTGAAAGCCATGAAAGCAACAGTATTTGGTTTCCTGGGATCAGCCAAGGGCTTCTAAAGAGCCAGCTGAAGTGACACTAAACCTCATAAGTCACCTTGCAATGAATCAGAAACTAAGGAACTTATTCACTATCTTACTGATGTAGGCAACACATCTTGGTCAGCATCATGCCTTTAGAGATCAAGTGATTGAACTTAGCAAAAAAAGATCAGGTGATTGATTGTTAGCATTCTGTCCAAAACTGCGGTATACAAGAAGAGTGGTACCTTGGATGGGACATGGGCATTCCAGATAACCTTCAAGGGAAGAGTCCTRAAGGGGGCCAATTATGGAATTCTAGAAGGAACTCAATGAAGAAACCTTCATCTTTAGTAAGCTTCCAGATTCTTGTGTCATGCTTCTTTTCACAAGGAGAGCAGGGTGGCTACCTCTCAATCATTTATGTTCCATCTCAGCCTTGGGTCACACCACCTGGCCAGCCTCTACTTCATAACAGTCACCATTGCGAATTTTTCTGCACCAATATGGAGCAGATTCTTGTAGGCTTCAGCAAGAGGTCCATCACCATACCAAGAATCTGTCCAGAACAGAATGTGAGAGCCTTCACCAGCTTTAGATGTCATGTGCTTGAGGAACTGTCCCTAAACTTGCATTGTTCCTTTCCGCAAATTGCTGCCATGGGGGATTGTTGCCTGGCATGAGCAACACCTAAACTGAGGAAAACCATATTTACCACAGATAGCTTTCCTCCGTAGATGCTCTTGTTCTTCAGGCTTTATTCGTAGCACTTAATGACCTGGCGCCCATCTCTTCGCTTGCTTTCTTCTTGCCTGTGACCATGCCACAAGGTGGAACTTCTGATTGCCAGGACCATTCCATGGAAAATCATTTCCCATCTTCTCTAAAACAATCACTACAAAGTCAAGCATGTAGAAACCATCCATGTTTCTCCATGCTTTTCAACAAGGTTATCTTCCTGCATTTGAAAATATAACCATCAATGGGAATTGGGAAGAAGGTGGTCCCAATTAGAAGTACTTGAATGAATGGGGAATATGGTATTGCTTATTGCCCTGAAGAATACCTTGAAATTTATGTTGGATAATAGAACTGCCCAAGAATAACCCATCCATATTTAGGAGCCACACCTGCAGGGGGAGGGGGGTGGTGCTCCCATCTACATGGTCTTAATGGAAGATGGATTAATTTGATGTGGAGGATCCATGAGCTAAAAAAGTTGCTATTGGAAACTATAGTAAGTTCTTCACCAGAGAACAAATGGTCTCAACTGCTGATATCTTGATTACCCAACACTGCTAGAACATGGAGAAGAGACTCATGTTGAATGAGGTAAACAAGGAGGAGACCAAATGCTTTCACCAATATCAATAAAATTGTTTCTTAGATATTGGGAATTTAGTTGCAAAAAGACTCATGTTGTTTCCTCTAAGAAGACTTTTTTATCTTTATAATAGGGTTGAGGAAGAGAGATTGGGAATGCCTCTTATGCATACAAGAGAGAGACCTTTGAAAAACCTTTGGGCATACTCAAATACAAAATAAATATAGGTAACCTATTTTTAAACTATGGATCTCAATTGCCATTTGTTAATCTAAATATTTGGACCGTTTTTTGTACATAGGAGGTAATTGTTGTTAGCAACAGATTGGTGGAGCCACGACTCTTTCGAGATATTCCATATCTCAAAAAATGCACATTGTCATACAGAAATTATATAGAGATTCACTTCTCTTTTGAATCACAGCAACATGAGGATATTTGATTGAAATGTTCAAATGACAAATAAGTATGTTTTAGATTGTTGTATTCTTTACCCTCTTTGAGAACCATTTTAAAATTTTTGTGAGTTATATTGTTAATATCTTCTTTTATGGAAATATTAGGTTGTAGTTGTTTCAATGTCATAGGGGTGAGGATGAGACCTACACAAATGGAAATATTAATCTTATTTAAAGGAACATCTCTTTATATATAAATTATTTTTTCTTTATTCTATATTATTTCTATTAAGAATCAAGAATTGGGATTGTCAATATAATTGCTATCAATTTTCTTTATTTTTTAATCTCCCAATTATTCAGTATTATTCGCCCGTACTAATTTCTGAAGGATAAAGAAGATTATTCAGTATCATCTCCAGATGATACTATTATTCGCCCAATTATTCAGTATCATCACCAGAAGTACTGGCTTTACTTGAAGAGGGTGCAAGGACTTTTCTGTAGTGGCGGTGGTGGTGCTGGGGTGGCGGGGTTACCTCCTGCTGATCCTGCGACGGATCATTTGTTTGCCAGTGAACTTCTGGGTTCAGAAAAAAAAAATGATATAGACGGGTTTTCAGTTCAAAGGATAGATCGGTGAAACGAGGAACGAGGAAAGAGGAGAGCAGACAAAATAGAAACACACAGAGAAAGAGAGTAAGAGAAAAGCAATGAAGAAGAAGAAGAAGAATGAAGATTTTTCAGAGCTTGAACTTCTCCTGAATGGATTGTTGAAAGTTTGTTCCTTCGGGGTTTCTTTTCTAATATTACAATGAAGAGCTTCAATTTGAAGATTTTCATTTTCCATGTTTGTGCTGTTCTACAACTATTTTATTTGAACACGCTTCTCAGGCTTTCTTTTTATTGTAGGTGTTTTCTTCTTCATCGTAATCAACCAAATGCTGTATTCAGGTGCTTCAGTACTCTATTTTTTTTTCTTCTTCTTGAAACCTAAAATATGGATTCAATCTCAGTTCATGTATCTATCTTTATTTTTTATTTATTTTTGCTTCTAACTTGATGCTGAAATAGGGTTAAAATAGGGATTCTATCTTCCTTAAAGCTTAAAATAGGGTTTTGATGATTGAACGAGGTATTGTGTTTTTTTCTGGTGGTCCATTTTACTTTCAACCAAGAGGCTTTTCTCGAACATTACCCTGTTCATTTTTAGTTGGTTTTCTTGTAGAAGAAACAGCGAGCAATCTGAGGTTGTTCTCCGTATTTCCTTTTTGTCCTACCTTCGTTTGACAATACGAGTAATGACGACTATTGAAGTAATACCTTTGATATTTTAGTTGTCAGGTTTGAAACCACATCTTTCTTATAGAGGTTTTTCCGTAAAATCTGTTGGTTTGCGTTATGGCTTTAATCCATGTAGGCAAATTAAGTGAGGATGATTGTTGCATGTTACATTGCAAAATCTTTTGACATATTACAAAAACTTACGATGTCATTTACTGTAATAAAATTCTTTTTTCTTCCTTGTACTCAAAGAAGTGCTTGAATAAGGACATGATCAATTAACCCTTTTTTTTATTTTCTTTAATTTGGGTGGGGAAGAAATGTTGTACCAAAGAGATTTTAATGATTTTCTGATGCAGCATTGAAGGACAGGATAGATATTCTCTGTTAAGTACAATAATGCTGAGCATAATGATTTATCAAATTCAAAGGATTTAAGCATCAGAATTTGAAACTATTTTTTTGAAACTGGATGACTTGGCATGATAAGGAATCTTGCATACATGACAAAAACAAACAAGGAATGCAAATTTTCTTTTATTAATGACCATCTTTCTAATCAACAATGTTTTTTTCAATGTTAATTAATTTAGGAAAAAGGTATATGCTTATGTTTTAATGGTAATTGTTGCAGATTTATCTGTTGTTTTATACTGCAAAAGTTATCGGATCTATGCCTCTATCTCCAAGTGATGTTAGAAAGCTATAGTTTCTTTTTGTCCATTTCAATTTTTTCGATGTTCTTAAATTCAGGTTTATGGGTTCTTTCTATTGCAGATCACAAACATGATGTGGCCAGAGCAGAGGATGCCCTGACCCTTTCATATGGCAGTGAGCTAATTGGCATGCAGAGGGACTGGAATGAGGAACTACAGTCTTGTTGGGAGTTCCTCATACGACTCCTCAGGAAAGGTGTAGTTTTAACATTTTTCTGTTATGCATCCATTTCATGTCTACCTGATGTTCTCATCATCCATGGATTTTTAGTTTTAACTATTTATTGATAACTTTCTTGACATTATATCGCCCCCCCAAGTGTTTTGTCAATTACAAGTGGCGTCAGTGGTTTTCATTAATTATCAAGATAATTTTTGTTGCAGGATCTTGCATGATAGGGCTCTCTATATAAGGTTACATCTGATTTTGTTGATGCAGCAATTAGTGGTGCAATTGGAGTCATTAATAGATGCATACCCCTATTAATCCAACAGATCCAGAGTGTTTTCACATATAAGCTTGTACCAAAATATACCAAAATGTTTTTACATCTCATTTTGTTCTAAATGATAGAATAATATTTCTGAAAAATAGGTCTAAGGTGGCATGATCTGTAAAAAACACAGGTTGGGGGAATTTCAACTTGACTCATGTCAACTCAGGAAGCATTGCCCTTGGGAGTCACATTGCAAAACTGAATGGACTAACACACTTCATAATTTAAATGGACTCGGGTGTTTGGGTTGGATTATTAGCTGGATGTTGAACCCAAATTTTTTTTGGTGTACTGCAAAGTTTCATCTGCACTGGTATAATTTGCATGAAAGTGTAAATGGGTTAATTTGAGTTGTGTTTTTTCTTTCTTTTAATTGAAGCTGAGGTTTCTTTGAGGAAGGAAGAGAGAGCTTTTTGATTTCTACAAGTAAGCTTTTAGGAGAGGAATGGATAGAAGTAGACAGAAATACAAAGTTTGGATTCCGAGTATAATGCAAACCTTGCTAAGTGGACAGAAAAGTTTGTTTTACATTCTATGAAAGAAAACTGAAAAACACATTTTTTATTAGTAACAGAGCATTTTATTAAAAGAGAAATATTAAGAGAATAATACAGAGTTGGGAAGTTGTTACTTTGTATTGAAAATATACCAAAGGAAAGTTCCATGGAAGGCATTTCTATAGAGGGCCATCATTATGAAAGTTTCTAATTGGGTGGCAAAATCTTGATCAGCAAGGTCTCTACTCATCTCATAATGGAAGCCTCCACATGTAAATATGATAAAACTGAATTTTGACTGTTGAAGTAGAGGAACCCCGGATATTCAGGTGGGGGGAGGAGGATTTACTGACTTTGGGGGGGCCAAGGCTAGCAAAATCTCTTAACTACACAAGATTGATAGTGGAAGAGGACTCCAAAGTATTGGTGGGTTGGCCGAAAAAGGAAGGACCGGTTCATGGCAATATGGCATTACAGTATGAGGGAGACAGGGGATGATAAGCCACATACAGATTCATAATCAGCTGATCAACCAACAGTTTGCCTGATGCCATGGCTATAAAGGGGTTAACATAAAAGAAAGTTGGGTAACAGTTTCGCTGTCTCCGTTGGTATTTGTTGGTTTATCTTTACGTTTCTCTCTATTTGAGCCGATGGTGTGAGCGTAGTGTTTACTATACACTGTCCTTCCTGAGTTTTTTTGGCAACTGACAATTGAGAAAGGTGGTGGGTTTTTCAAAATCGATGAATTAGAATTTTTAATCATTTTTTAGTGAAATGAGTTTATATGATTCCATTATGATACATATAAAATTTGTATTTCTTTTGGGAGTTATATGCTTAATAACTTTGCAAGATTTATAAAATTTGTATTTCTTCTATTTATTATGTAATATATATTTTTCATAGATTAATTGGTTCATTACATTAGAGACCCGGATTCAGATTCCACAACTACAATTTCTATTTTTTCTTTTTTATTCTCCCACTTACTCGATATTACTTGCACGTGCTGAGCACGCGCGCCCCTCACTAGTTTATTATTAAAAATAGGTCAGAATTTACACTCAAATCATTTGCATTGGCATGGTTTTGCATTAATGCAAATTTATTTGCATTGCAACCAAACACAGCCTTATGTTCAACCACATTTTTGTATTTATCACCTCTCAAGCGCATTTCTTCCATCTTTTGTCTCACAGTTACTGACTCCCTAGTCTCTCTTGCAAAACCCTTTTTTTTCTTGGGCTTTATTCGCCTATTCTGCAGCTGAAATTCAAGGCTCAGTTTGGAAGCAGTACAAATGCAAATATGTACAGCATAAATACATACAAAATATAAGGTTTTGCACTCTATATATTTACATTTGTACTCCTTCCAAACTCAGCCTAAAGGGGTAATTCTTTTTTTTTTAACATGATCAAGGTACAAAGAAGACTGAGAAGACTCATCTTTGCTACTTACACTGGCCATCTCCAACCAACAAATATGTTTGGGTGAACAAAAATGTTGTAAAATGTATGTCTACTCCTCTAATCCCAAATGGGAGTTCTGGAAACATCTCCAGAAGTTGTCAGTGGGAGATGTTTCCAATACATGGTTGGAATATGCTGTGGGGCGCCCTCTGTGGGGCACAGATGTGAATTTGTCAAATGGGTGATGCTATTTGACTGTCCATGCAAAACTTGTTATTCTCTCTCTATTGTCTGAATTCAGATCTCATACTCACAAGAATCCTATTCACGTGACACTACAGCTATGCATTGGGAATATCTCCCCATGAATGATAAATGCAAATACAGGAGATGTTCTCTGTCTTTCCAATCTTCCRTAAAGATGGGAGGTGTTCTGCAGTGTCTTTCTTGTTTTTCCATCAATAAGGGATTAAAGAGGTATACGTTTTTGGATAATTTATTTCTACATCATGATTCTAAATTSTTAAAAGGTAAGATCTTAAGTTAAGGTGGGGTTGGGGAAAAAAAAAAGAAAACCATGAAAATAGGAGATAAAGTTATAAGTTAACAACGAAAAGAAAGCCCATGTGATATGAGACGTGTATTTGTTTATTGGAAAATTTCCTAATCCTTTAAGATGGTGAATGGTGGATTTTGGAACATTTATCAATCCATCACGTTTGTGAATTGTGAATTGGTGGGGGTTTATTAGATAGACAAATGGAAAGCGAGAGGAGCTATGCCACATGGCCTAATGAAAGAGCTAGAAAGGAGTAAGGGAGAAAGGAGAAAAAGAGAGAAATATCATACAAAAATAATCTAATTTGTGAATATTTTAAAAATAGTATTATGAAAATTTATGATTATTTTAAGAATTGGATCATCACAATTTGGGGATACTTTATAAATGAAATTATGGGATAGTAGGATTTTAGAAATTTGAGAAAAAATTAGATATATTTTAAAAAATCAATATTAAATCTAGAGATATTTAACTAATTTACTATTAGATTTTGGACAGATTTTCGGAATTATATGTAAATCCCATCCTTCTACCTATCCCTGATTCAAAATAAAATTATGTTTCCTACCTCCGCTCTGCTACCATTTAAGATCGGAAAAAAACATCCTGCTTGGGATGGGGCTGGGCCGCTTTTACGGCCTGACGGAAAAATTGCCATCCCTAAAATTATGAATTTATTACCGCTATATTAAAATCAGTTAATATGGTTGATTGGTTAGTTGGGTTAGTTTTAGCATTAAAAAGTAATAAATATACCGTTGGACCACATGTTAAAACCCTACCAAATGAACCACCAACAGTTGGTAGATAAATGAAAGGGATTTTCACATAAAAACCCTTGATTTATAATGCTATTCAACAGCTTTTATTATCCGAAATTTGAATATTTGATTCTATAATAGTGAATTGAACTCGGATTTACGTATAACCGTATTCGACCCGATCCGTTTGCAATTCTATTAAATGATTGAAATGGTTAGTTGTGCTGTTGTACACTTGTACTCGCGCCGCGCAGTTGCGCTTAAACTGTCTGAATTCGTGGCCAGTGCGACGAATCCTCTCCTCACCGTCGGTCTCTCGTTTTGGTTTTTATCTCTCTTAAATCACCATCTTTCTTGAAATTTCTTTGTTTTTTCTTTTTGTTTTCAATTCACTAAAGTTCGAAATGTTGACCTTCATGAATTGGTTTTCTCTTTTGTTCCTGGGGTTTTCTCTCTTGTTCTACTTCTACAGTCAACCATCTACTACACCCCAAAACATGGCAGAAGGGTTGCCCAACTCCATTTACGATTTCACAGTCAAGGTAAGCGTTTTCTCCTTCTCTTCGCGTGTGTGGCTTTCTTTTCGTGTTTAAAATTTAATCCACGTTATTGGGTTGAACTCTTGATTGTTCTCGTCTTTGTTCAGTGCTCACGCTTATTTCAGCATCTCTCTGGATATATCAGCCAATAAAGTTACTTGTTTCTTTGGGCTGTGATGCTTTTATAGGTTCTCTTTGTTGATTAACCTTTATTTTGTTTCATTTTTGTTTTAGATCCGGATGGATCCATTTCAGCCTTATTTTTATTTGTATTCAAAGTCACGTTTATCTTCCTTTCTGCTTCAACTCCCCCATATTACTGATCAGTGATCACTTTCCGGTTTTCCTTAGCCGACCCTATATAGTTGGGATAAGGCATGGATGACAATGATGCTTAACCTTTTTCCTCTTTTTGCCGGTTTTTTTTTTCTTTAATTTAATGGGTACATGTTTTTAATCTAGGATATTCGTGGGAATGATGTGAGCTTGAGCACCTACAGGGGAAAAGTTCTTCTTATAGTCAATGTTGCTTCAAAGTGGTATTTGGTCTGATCTAATTTTATTTCTCATGACCATAACCTGGCTTCTAATTATTGATATGTTGCTACAAATTCTTTCTCCATAACCTGAATTTCTGAAACAATGATGAATAAATATTTGCATTTTCCAAATAGTATGGTGTTTAAAAGGATCTACATGTTTGTCTTTTGACCTCAGAGACCAAAAGAATTAAAGAAACCCTCAACCCCCATTCTCCACCACAAAAAAGGGGACAAGTAAAAGGAAGCTCAAGATCCTTATATTTGCTATCTTCCCTTGTAATATAATTTCCAGGTTTCTAAATTACATGTACAGAACCTCTCAAACTTGGATAACTCTGTGAATCTTATCTATCCAATTGAGGACAGAGCCCAAGCCTCTTAAACTTAGAAAGTTAGAAGAGGGTGTTTTGAAATAATCAAAATCTTTTGTTTTGATGACTAAAAAAAAGTATCAACGTTTATACATTCAGTAAGCTAACTTGGCAGAGCATTGCACCAAAAGGATTCAGAGTTAAACTTCTTAACTTTGTAAGCCACGAAATGAGCAACTTTGTTAAACCTGCTATTTACATAATAACATAAACAAAACATGTATAGTCTTACTGAGAAGCAACGTTTTTAATATCATCTAATAAAGCCCAGCAAAACCATGTAATTTTAGACTGAGAGCCATTTAAAGATGAAACTGAGATTTTTTAATCCAACTCCACCACCAAAATTACCCTGATTTATGCCAAGCGTGATTGTTTAAAGCCGAAATAATCAGGACTTAATTTTGTCCCCTGAGTTATGGCCTTCTCGTTAAAATTGTTGATTTTTTTATTATTGATGGTATTTTCTAATTAAATCATAGACAGCTTATTTTTGTATTAAATTTCTTATTTTATGCTTTCTTCATGTTTGGTTAGTGGCCTTACAGATTCAAACTACAAGGAACTGAACATTTTATATGAGAAATACAAAAACCAAGGTCTGTTGACCATTCCTGTTGTATAATTATGCTATTTCTATTATTACATTTTGGAAAGTGTCATGTYTGGGTATTACCACTATTGCTGCTATTTCTTGACAGGACTTGAGATCCTAGCATTTCCTTGCAACCAGTTTGCTGGTCAAGAGCCAGGAAATAATGATGAAATTCAGGAGTTTGCATGCACAATATACAAAGCTGAATTTCCCATCTTTGATAAGGTAACCTGGTGAATTGAACAACAAAAAATCAGAAAGAAAATTCAACTAATCTATAACTATATCAGAGGTTATTAAACAAAGACCATTTTTTCAGGATCTGCTTATCAAGCATCCAAGGTGTTTATATGCTTATTCCTCTTTTCCAAACCACTCATTGGTGCCACCTCTCATGTTGATATGTATGACTAGGATAATCACATTGAGCTTATCAATGGAATCTATGCCTCCTAGGCAGGAAATTTTGACTGCTGAAAATTCAAGTGGATTTGCTGAGCTCCTGGAAAAGCTTTCATGCTAGTATTCTCATTCCATGGTTCTGGGTATTGTAGGTAGAGGTGAATGGGAACAACGTGTCACCCATTTATACATTCTTAAAATCACAGAAAGGTGGGATACTTGGGAACAGAATCAAGTGGAACTTCACAAAGTTTTTAGTAGACAAAGATGGAAATGTTGTTGAAAGATACGCTCCAATCACCTCCCCTCTTAAAATTGAGGTTCAAAGTTCAAACTATATTAGCTATTTTGTATATCTGTCAAACAAAATTATATGCTTTGTCTGATGGTCCTTTTTCCCTGAATGTTGCAGAAGGACATCCAAAATCTGTTGGGAGTTTCCTAAGTTTGGCAAAGGTGGAATCCATTTTGACCAAATGCTTGTATGAACATGTAAGAGTAGATGAAATGGTGGGCATCTCTGGATAGTGCTGTTCAGGATATTTTTCTTGTAATAATTTACATCTTGCTATGATTCATCAATAAATCATGGGGAAGGGGTTGTATTGCTGTATTATCGGCTACATTATTTCAAATTTCTCTATTTCTTAGTTTTCTACATTTCTTGCAGCAATTGAGAATGAGATTTTCTTTTGATAGTACAATAGTATGTTTTTGTTAGTGTGGTTTACTGCTGCCTGCTGAATGGTTGGATAAATCAAAACTGTCACCTGATTCACGGATACCGAATATTGTTTGGGTGGTCAGAGTCCTCTTGGACTGCTAAAACTAGAGTCTATTCTTGGTATTGGATTCACCAGTTGACTTGGATTAAATTAAAAGCACAAATGAGGAAGTAACAATTGTGATGTCTGTTGCATGTCATCTGATAGAGAGCCAGAGCAAGCTCTTCAGTACTTTTACACCTAAGGCTACGGTTAGAGTGCAAAGCACGTATTGGTATAAATGCAAATTTGATCAAAAACCATAATGCAAACTTGGTTCAGTTTTGCATTGATACGTTTTATTGTATTTGGTTGTAATGGGTACAAAGACAAATTTCCTATTTTACATTGACCTCCCGCAGAATTGCTTCCCATTTTGATGCAAAAGTGTTAGAGAAAAATAAAAGTCACTCATTTTCAGTAAGACGTATCCTTATCAAATACCTGCAAAACCAATGAGTACAAATTCATGTAGATTTTGCATTTGCGCTCTTACCAATTGTCTGGAATCAGGACCCCTCCAATAAAGTAACAAACATGTCCAACAAGGTAAGAACATTTCAAATAATTCAAACCTCTATCTAGGGGTGTCCATTATATGGTCTAAACTGCTAAATCGCACTGAATCAAACTGTAATTGGTGGTTTGGTCTGGTTTAGCCTTAAAACAGTTTGGTTTGGTTTGAGAATTTCTTAAGGCTGCATTTGGAAACAATGCAAATGGAGTGTAAATCCCGGTTCAGGGTAAATTTACATTTTGGTTCACTTTTGCCTGTGTTACATTTATGTATTGACAAATGACAGATCAATGCATATTTACATTGATAATAAGATGTAAAAGTACATCAATAAAAAATAAGTAAATTTGCATTCAAGTGGGCTTCTGATTAAAAAAAATGAGTAAATTACAAAGACCCCCTTGTACTATGGGGTTTGTGACAACCCCCCCCCTTGTACTTTGTTTTGCGACAAAGACCCCCCCCTATACTATGACCGTGAGACAAAGACCCCCTTCCGTTAGCCTTCCGTCCAAAAAGGCCGTTACAATATTATTTAATCCTCATGCTATCCTTGTAATAACTAGATGAGAAAAAAATTGATCATCTTCCCYGACCTTTTTATACTATCCTTCCGTTCCTTCACATTTCTCTCTCTCCCTCTCACTCCTCTCTCTCCCCCGATCTCTCTTCTTGCCCTTACATTTCTCCATTCTCCATTCTCAGTTATCACATTTCTATGGTTCTTTCAACAGAGAATTCTACCTCCACGCTATGCATGCATCAGAAATATAAAAACACCAGAAACCTATTCTACCTCCACGCTATGCATCACATTTCTATGGTTGTCTGTTATGCTTCAAAAAGAAAACAAAATGTTGAGAGACTAGGAGGGGCACTTGATCTGGGACTGTGAAGAATAAAGACTAAACGCTAGCTGGTGGTTGCTACACCCTCTAGTAACCCAGGACCTCTAGGAGTCAATGGTCATTAATGGACCATTCTGCTAAGCTGTTCATACCCAATAAGGAAAAGACTTCTTGCCCTCCGCCCTCTTTCAGAATTCAGACACTATTGCTAAATATAATTATTCTTCATATTGGACTGGGTTGATAGTTGAAGGGGATTGTTATTTGTTAATGAGTAGTTAGTTGGTTTCTGATGAAGGAAGATTTGGTCCGACCTTGTAACCACTCAACACGTGGCAAAGGCAACAGCTCGGCACGACAGTAAGCCCAAGGCGCGAGCTCCGAAAGGAGGAACCAGCGGTCCGAACTCCCCACAAGGAGCCCGAACTCTCCCTTTAACCCTGGGCCTTACGAGGAGCACAAAGGGCAACAACCCGAACTGGCCCGCCCTAGGGTAGTTCGGGTCACACCTCTATCCGAACTCAAGACTTCACCTCGCACACCACTCCAGCACCTCGCCTCCAGGACGCCGAACTTAACAATCGTATCGTACCTGACACCAAAGGAGTCCGTATCCTGAGGCGGCGCACCTGACTGACTTGGGATCTGACGCTTGACAGCTGCACTTCAACGGCCACCTGCCACCGCCATCTCCAGTTACAGAGACAGCTCCGACAAAGAGTGCAGTGGCGGTTCTGCCTCAGCAGAGGTGATGACACCCGAACTGGCAGAAGCGTAGAGGTAATCATACCCGACCTAACAGGAGCTTGGGAGTGAGTGCGCGAAGTGGTTATAAAAGGCCCCCTTCCCCCCAAGAAGTTGCGCCATCTGGTTTTTTATCTTGCCTTTGAGGAAATACTAACTTGAGCTTCGAAGCACTCTCACCGGGTTCTTCCTTGGAGATTACTCGCTTTCTCCCCCGTTTCAGGCACCTTTTGCTCCAGCCCGAGGCAAGATCGTTGACAGTTAGGACCGACCGGACTGTGCACCATCAATTGGCGCCGTTTGTGGGAAACGCTTCTAAAAGCCTTCCTCTAAAACTCTCATAACCCCTTTTTTTCCAAGAAACCCCAACACTCGTGGCTTCTTCCAGCAATGTCGGACGTAGCACGGAGATGAACACCACCGGGGAACAACTTCAAGTCCCCGTAGTGTGCATCGAACAGTTCACCATCCCCCTTCCGGTGGAAGGGATCCCCGGCTTGAATGCACCACGAATAGTGGCGCCCGTGAACCTTCCCGCCATGAACGTCCCCCTTCCTCTCCCTGCCGAAACAACCTTTACCGAACCAACTGTTGTCCCCCTGGCGACCAGCTAGAACTAGTTTGATGACTTGATGCAATGCATGCGGGCAATGTAAGACCAAATGCAACAGTTCCAACAGCATCAGCTCCAGTAGCACCAAGTACTGCACCACATCTCTCAATATCACTATCAGCAGCAGTTCCCCCAACTGCCTCTAAACCAACCACAGCTTCCACCGCGGCACACTGCTCCAAAACCGGTTAAGCCCTCCCCTCAGGGCGAATGCCATCACCAAGGAGAAGCCTCCCAACTTCAGAACCCCCCTAACAGCCATGCCTCATCCCCGGGCCGGGGGGAAAGAAAAATCACCCCCGTCTCGCAGCTCACCGGCGGATCGGGAACCTCGCC